TGCTTTCATTACGTCGAGGCTCGACTATGCAAACTAATTGCTTGTCGGCCTCCCCAACTCCTCCCTCCACGGGCTGCAGATCATCCAGAACTCTGCAGCCAGTGTCCTCTCCTGCACTAGGCTCCGCGACCCTATCACCCCCATCCTTGCCCAACTCCACTGGCTTCCCATCACACAGAGGATACAGTTCAAGATTGGTCCTCACCTTCAAAGCCCTCCATGGTCATGCTCCCCCCTACTTCTCCGACCTCCTAACCCCCTACCACCCTGTTTGCTTCCTCCGCTCAGCGGGCTCCAGCCTGCTTCATGTCCCCTGCCTTGCTTGCCCCAAAATCGGCGGGCGGACCTTCTGCCATTCTGCACCCACCCTCCATCCAACAATCCCTTTGTCTCGCCTCCACCCTCGCCACCTTCAAAACGCACCTCAAGTCCTTCTTCTTCGTCCGTGCTTTGGATCTCCCTGCTTCCCTCCCTGCCCTCCACCCTCCCCCACCCTGACCCACAGCTCGGGTCCTTAACTCTGTCTGTCCTGCGCCTTGGGACATCCTCCCGACGTGAAAAGCGCTCTACAAATGTAATTTTGTTGTTGTTGTTATTTAGAATTTGTACAGTAGGATAAAAACAATGTTGAGCAGAAGTCTTTTTTTAGGTCATTACTGTGTGGCATCTTTAGATTAACTGCGTGGCAACCTGAGACATTATTGTGTAAGCAAAGGAGGGAACCAGGCAAGGAAATGGGATTAAGTGCATTAAGACGCCCTAAAGCACTTTGAGACATCCTCCCAATGTGAAAGGTGCTATGTAAATGTAAATTGTATTAAGTGGTCTGAAATATTCTAATTAAATAACAGAGCAGGTTCTACAAGCTGAATGGCTTCCTTCGATTCCCATGTTCCACAGTCCGCACAGAACGTACCTTAATAAGGACTCTATGGGGAAGAATAGTATTTCTTCTAATTGAAGGAAAAGAACAGAAAAGACTGATTTACCTCAACTGCAGCAGCAAAGTGTGCTGGATTTTCTCAGCTGCTTCAGTTCTGCTCATGAGTTGATTTTGTAAATTCCACGGTCTAAGTTTGCCTTGACTTCTTAGTATGAGTGCATGAGAGGAAGCTTACTTACTCTTAACTACCACTATCAGAGAGGTTTAAATTGTATGACTGAACCGTGAAAGCAGACTAGATGGAATAGGTTTAAAATTAACATCCCTCAAGCGAGACATGAGATTAGAAGGAATATCTTGCCCGTAAAATAGTGGATATCTGCAACAAACACACAACAAAAGCTGTGTTGTTTAACTCCTTCAAATAAGAGCTGCTTAAGTATTATTGGGTTAGGTACAGATCGAAATGCATGAATATTGCACAAGGTATGTTGATTTCTGTTCTGTGGGCCCTGAATATTGTTTGGGAAAGGCACAGGCCAGAATAGAATAGTGGAAATGTTGTTGCAATAAGGACTCTAGCCGCCCAATCTATTGTTGGGAGAAAGTTCTGCATAGATGTGCAAAGGTCAACAAGCACAAAGTGCAGAATATCTATCCCCCAACAATAGAGCGGGTGGCTAGAGCCCTTATTACAGCAATAACAACTTGCATTTATATATGGTCTTTTACCCTATAGAGATCTGTAGCTCAGTGGTTAGAGCACTCGCCTCACAAGCGAGAGACCCTGGTTCGATTCCCAGCAGGGTAAAATGTTGGGCAAGTTTCCTTACTCCACATGCCTCTATTTACCTAGCAGTAAGTAGGAACACGGTTATTAGTTAATTGGCGGATCACTTTTCCGGGGATAATAAAAAAGAAAATAAATAATTTGGTCTCTGAATCCACGACTGTTTGTGGAACACTGCTGTGCGCAATTGGTTACCACGTTTCATCAACAAATATACTGTCGATTCACTTTGCAGTATAGTCTATGAAGCGCTTTGAGACATCTCGAAGACGTGAAAAGCCCTATATCAAATGCAAGGATCATTATTATTATTTTACACATGATAGCATTTCAGAGCACTGAACCATGGCATAGTTTGATGCCGAGCCGGGAGAGAGGGGAGGTAATCGTAGGCACAGTCAAAGGAAAGTCTTCAGGTGCGATATTTGATACAGTGCTTTATCACATTGTTGAGACATCTCAAAGCACTTCACAGAATGGACTGTATATTTTGAGGGTGAAACGCGGCACCCAATAGCGCACAGCAATGTCAAACAAATGTGGTTTGAGTGACCAAATATTATTTTTCTTTTATTTATTGGATTATTCTAAAATATGATAATGCGTTTTCATATGTGTCAGACACCTGAGTGACCAATTTAAAAAATACAACCACAAAACCACGTACCATATAAGACTAATTCTGAAAATGGACAGAATTGCTATGTAATTTAAATTGCTCATAAATCCTCCAACGGGCATTATTTAAGACAACAACAACAACTTGCATTGTATAGCGCTCTTCATGAGGGGTAGCATCCTGGAGCTCTTAGGCGTGTGGAGTAAAGAAACTTGCCCAAGGTTTCCCCCTGCCTGGAATTGAACTCAGGTCTCTCACTTGCAAAGCGAGTGCTCTAACCACTGAGCTACAGGACTCCACGTAAAGTTTAGTGACTGTATTTTTAGGTGAATATTGCAGCCAATTTGCACACAACAATATCCCACAAGCAGACATGAAGTGAATGATTAATTTTATCTGGGGAAGTAATAATGAGGTAAGTTTCATGTGGACTGTTGAACATAAGAATAGTAGGAAGCTCTAAGTTTGGAACATTTCAAACCAATTAATCCCATTTTTCTTTGTTTCCCTTACTTCCCAAGCCTGTATCTTCTTCTTAAGCGTGCCAAGTGATATTTGGGGAGAAATTCCAACCGAGGTATACAGTTAGTCCATTCTCTCAGCATTTTAGAGCATGTAGAATTTGACAAACTTTTGAATTCAGTCTTAACTCTGAAGTTGGTATTTTCCAGTTCCTAAAAAAGATTTAAGCACAGCAAGATTTATTTTAGGAAATAATATAATAATAATAATAATAATAATAATCCTTGCATTTGATATAGCTTTTTTCATGTCTTCTCGACATCTCAAAGCGCTTCACAGAATAGACTGTAATTGTTAAGTGAATTGACAGTATAATTGTGGGCGAAACGCAGGAGCCAAATGCGCACAGCAGTATCCCACAAACAGTCGTGGATTGAAAATGACCAATTTATTATTGTTTTTTGTTTTGGAGGGATTATTTTTAGCCGTGTGGAGTAAGGAAACTTGCCCAAGGTTTCGCCCTGCCTGGAATTGAACCCAGGACTACAGGAGCTACAAAAATATCTTGGGATATAGTATATAGGTTGGCAATAACATGGACGTGCGATCGCCAGGATGGATATTGGTCTTCTTTTGTCCAGCAATTCCTATGTTGTTATGAAAGAAACTTATAGAAAAACAGCTTTAAAATTAAGATTTTATTTAAGAATTTGCCAAATTCTAGATGCTCTCAAATACTGCGTAAATATAGCAAATCTAGACCCAGGTAGAATTTTCCCCATTTCTGTGTCTGTAACCTCTGGAATTTGTGTGTTCCATATTCTCCAATAAAGACACTTCTTCTGATTTGACTTGAAAGCAAGACTGGTTAGCTGAATGGTCTCTCTTTCCACTGACTTGTCGTGGGAAATGTTGTCTTGCATAAATTGGAATTGTTTGCCGTTAGTTTAAACTTGATTGAAAGTAAAAGGTCAGCGTGTGTTTTCGAGAGTCTTTTTTTCACTCTTCTATGATCGAGAGTCTTCTATGATTATTTTGATCACCTGGCAAGCTGATGGATTGACTGTGTAGAGATCCCTTGCTGCACTTAACTTTGTTTTGGCTTAAGAGTCTCCAGTTCCAGCTGTCATTTACCATTTCCCGAGAGGCCATGTGGAGAAGGACAAATGCTGCTTTCGCTATGCTTGGTGAACACAAGTACTGGCTGGTAGAAGCTATAGTGCACATTTAGGTACTGCGGGAACTGAACCAGCTAAAACTGTAGTATATCAGTATGAGGCATTGGTAAGCTTTCCCCTGCTCGTCCAATTGGAGCTGCCAATGACCATTAGGATGTTGACCTGTTATACAAATGTAATTTGTTGTTGTTCTTGTAGCATTATGAGAAGCTAAGAGGGAAGAATCCCATCTCTTAGTGGCATGTCTGGAGACACCTGGGTTCAATTCCAGGCAGGACAAAACCTTGGGCAAGTTTCCTTACTCCACACGCCTAATAATAATCCCTCCAAAACAAAACAATAATGAATTGGTCATTTTCAATCCACGACTGATTGTGGGATGCTGCTGGGTGCAATTGGCTGCCGCATTTCGCCCACAAATATACAGTCAATTCACTTTACAGTCTATTCTGTGAAGCGCTTTGAGAACGTTGAGAAGACATGAAAAGCGCTATATCAAATGCAAGGATTATTATTATTATTATTACTATTATTATTATGTCTACCTGATCATTTCCATTGACGGCTTGTTAATCAACAACAACAAAAACTTGCATTAATATCGAGTTTTTCTCGTGTCTCTGAGCGCTTGAACAGTGCCCTGGAGTACTGCGGACCTCTGTGTCGAGGTTCCGAATGTCAAAGTCCTCCTCCACTTTTCCTTCAACAGCTGTTTAACTATAAAGCTAGTGTGAACCCTCCCCACATGGTCACAATTTAATCGATCTTTCTGGGGTCCACAAGCCTCGGCTCTCTCCAACCTGTGCCTAATACTTTCTGGGATTAGGTGAGCAGAGCTCGTCTCTCTGGGGAGAGAGGATGCATTCCATTCTATTCCATTCAAAGCACATGGAAATTTCCATCACAAGGCGGAATGTTCAGTAGTTTGGGTTTGGATACTCTTAAGCATGGCGATGGGTTTCTGTGTGTGTCAAACACCCGGCTGACCAAAATGAACATTGGTTGATCACTAATCGAGGCATTCTGGATAGATCGAAGTCTAATTCTCTTTTTTTTTATCTGGAACAGCTACCTCATCCCTGAATTCCCAAATACAGCAGCTTCAACATCTGCAACAACTCCAACAGCAGCAGCAACAACAACAGCAGCAGCAACAACAAGGGCAGCAGCAGCAGCAACAGAACCAGCAGCAGCCTGGCCAGCAAGCCTCATCGCCTCCCAAACAAAGCCAGTCTCCCGGGCAAAGCCTCCAGTCCCCGCTCACTCCAACCAACCCCTTGCAGGTAAGGCAGCTCCATAGCACGAGCACTGTAAGCTATGCTCCCGGCTTGTCTCTGCCACAAGCATCCCCCATTCAAATGTTTCAGTTCAGGTCAGGCTGGGCTCGGGACCAGTTAGTCGCTGATAATCCCACACCACAAGCATTAAAGGAGCCTGGAGCCAAATGACCACAGTGCAAGTGAAAACACAACAGAAAGGCTGGCTCCAGGATTGGTAACGTCAATCGGGATCATGAACAGAATCCAAGATGACAGCGCTTAAGACTTTGGAACTGGGTTAAACCATTGTATTGAAGTTGGGGGCAGGTCCACTGAAATCTTTCCAGCATTTCACCCCCCAAGTCTCCAGCTGAGCTCCAGCAGTGTTCATGTTCCATATTTTCAGTCACCTTGTTGACGATGTCCCAACTTCAATGATATTCGCCGTTTGCTAAGTTTCATGTGGAGAGTGCCCAGCAAGGAATGCGTGACACATTTTTGATACAGCTGCACATTTTCACTTGCGGAACGATCAATAACACATTTTCTGTTCACAGTTGGTAAAACTGATCAGAATCAAAGCAAGACAACATGAAAGGCAGAGACCAAGGGAGGTGGGGACAGGGGGGGAATGTTAAGACATTGGGTTGTGAAACTTGGTCGATGAAGTGTTAGTGGTGATTGGAGTACCAACAAGCAAAGTGAAATATTCACCAGTTTTACTCTTTATTATTAAGCAGGAAATACCAGCCCGGCAACTCGCATCAAAGCCCTGTGCATTAGTGTGCAGCTTCACAGTGAAAACTTACAACATACTGTGTCTGCTGTAGCTTAGGCCAAGTGTCTCTCAACAATCAGTCTGAGCCTGGCGACAGTCCGTGCCAAACTCATGCTCGGTCCATATTGGAGATCTCTTTAGACTGAGTGACCTGACAGGCTCATTTACTAAATCTCTGCCATATTTTAAGAACAAACTGAGCCTGTCCCTGATAACAAAGAAGATTGAGAAACGCTGGTTTCAGTCTTTATTATACAGCAATAAAAAGTAACAGGCCAGGTGTGAAAAGCATCCAAGTATACCAGCTTGTGACCTCTTTCACCCTCTCCCACACCTTCAATCTGACTAGACATTGAGAGTGTTAAGACTTAAGGGTAGATTTCCATTCTATCTTCTTTTTTCAGAATACACACTTTGGCATAGAAATTCCACCTGGATCTAGATTTATTCTACTTTCTTATCATTTCAGAGAATAATAATAATCCTTGCATTTGAAATAGCGCTTTTCACGTCGGGAGGACGTCCCAAAGCGCTTCACAGAACACACTGTAAAGTGAATTGACTGTATATTTGTGGGCGAACCCGGCAACCAATTGTGCACAGCAGTGTCCCACAAACAGTCATAGATTGAAAATGACCAATTTATTATTTATTATTTGGAGGGATTATTATTAGGCGTGTGGAGTAAGGAAACTTGCCCAAGGTTTCGCCCTGCCCGGAATTGAACTCAGGTCTCTCACTTGCAAAGCGAGTGCTCTAACCACCGAGCTACAGGACTCCACAATTATTATTATTATTATTTCAGAGAATGCAGAATTTGACAAATACTTGATTTTGAAGCTGTTTTTCTGTAAAATACAAAGTAAACCAGCTTCGAAGTTCAGAATGAATTCAACAATTTGCTAAATTCTGGACCCTCATCCATTTAAAACCAAATCAGAATGATTCCAGTTTTGAGAGCAAGACGGTGACATTTGCATTTGCCCAGCCACCGGAAACAATGAGACCTGGGAATTGGTGGGAACAGGACTCGTGAAGTAAGTTCTCTTGACTAGTGAATCAATATAATAGTGCTGAGGGAGGGGTGATGGCAGAATTATAATGTGTTGTGCATTGGATATCTCAGGTTTGCTTTTGTGGGACATTGCTGTGAGCAAAATTGGCTGCCGTTGTTCACCTACAAATACAGAGTCACTACACTTTACAATATATCCCGTGAGGTCCTTTTGATAATATCATAAGGCGCTATATCAAATGTAAAGATTATTATTAATTGTCTCTGTGTATTTGTACATAAGTCGGTCTCTTTATCTTTCTCTCTATCTTTATCTGCTTTATCTGCTTTCTAACTGTATGTGTGTATATGTGTGTGTGTGTGTGTCTCTCTCTCTTTCTCTTGCTATCTCTCAGTGTTTGTCTACGTCTCTCTCTGTCTCTATATAAGTTCTGTTTGAGTGGTGCTGGTGATCTTCCACTATATAACCCAATCAACCAGCCTTTAAAAGTGACCCTGTCTTTCATTTAAAATCGCCGCAACCCTCAGATTTCGCCTAAATTGACAGCATTGCTTTTCCAGTGAGAATATCAGCAAAACAGTGTTTAAAATTAAAAGGTTGGTATTTAAATCCGTCACTGTAACATAATTCAAAGGCGGTAGGAGACTTCTCACTGATAAATTGACTGAGCTGTAGGGGGATTATTAACATGGAGAGGCACCAGACAGCAGGAAACTTCAAGGATTTGCACAGGATTAGAGAATGCTCCCAGGTGCACAAAGCTAGAATTGAAAACAGCAGGAAAAATGGAATTCTTCCACATCAGGTCAACATCCGCATACAAAAAGATTCTTGCGCCGTCCCTTTAAGACGTGAGCACTGAGTATGGTCTGCTTCTGCTGGACGGTGGGTAAAATCCAGGTGCTAGCCCTCAGTCCTTGTTCTTCTCTCAACGGCGGCAGATCTCTTTTTTGTCCTTTGCGCGAACAGAAATTTCAAGTGCGGTGTATCAGGCTTTTTTCCTGTTTGATAGAAAAACAGTTGAAGTTATTAATAATAATAATATATATTGATATAACATCAATGTTGTGATAAGGCGCTAAATCAAATGCAAGGATTATTATTATTAGTAGTAAATATTATAGCATGTGCCGTTGGCCATAATCTTGGCTGCTGCAGACAAACGTTATATATAAATAGCAATTGTTCAGGTCTGTTAGCTGTAACATAGTGCAACATTAAGGGAAATGTTCCATGTATGTTCCACTTTCAATCAGTGCCTCGTACCATTACTGTGGAGACAGTAAACAGCCTTATTATGTCAAAACCTCCGCTTTACACATAATTACTGTGAGGTGTAGTGACTGTCACTACAGTCCTGTTCATTTTCTGTCTCTAGAGAAAGCGGGGCCTGGCGTTTCTGCCTGGTGGACCCAGTGAGTTTGAGTGGGTGGAATTGTCACTCCAGTATGTTACAGTCCACCTCACACTTACACAGGGCGAATTGTAACATCAAGTGCTTCCCGTCAGAAGCCGTTCTGTTTAAACAGCCCTGATGGATCCTTCAGTTGAAACGGACACAGCCTGAAGTTGTTTCCCCAGCCAGCACCAGGGCAACGGTCTTCGAGAAAGCTAGCTTCACGGATGCTGTATTGCCCCCAAATCTCATTGTCTGGACATTTCTTTGGGAGTGAGAGGGAGCCATGCAATATTTACAACAAAGGCAGCATGCTTGCAGTATGCTCTGTATGGACCAACAACAAACAGCCGCAAATTACATGTGTATATGAAGCATGTCTGTCAAACGCCTTCCCCTGGGAACTGTAGTGCGTGCTGCCCAACGGGGGTATCTCTCCATAGGCTTCCTCCACGCTCTGGGATGCTGCCCTGCGTGCGTGTGCTACATAAATGCGAGTTGTTGTTGCCTGCTGAGTTGGTGAAACTAATCAGAGCTCAGGTGTAGCGAGCTTGAACAGGTTTGGGGTGCGTCCATCTCTGCTGTGTCCGTGTGGTCTTGGCTTCCAAGTGGTCTTATGTACTATTTTGAAGTGTAGTCGACAGAAGACTCCATATACCTGCTCTCCCTCAGGTTAAACTGCTCTGTGATTGACTCTTTCATTTTTAATGGGGGAAAGGGGGATGTTCAAATTTAGGCAGCTGGGATGTCTGCGCATTTAACATCTTTCCAAATGCGATTTTTAATTATTAATGTTTTTTGTTGGTAAATATGAAATGATGGCTTGTTTGTGTCCGAAAGAGCTTCTCTGTGATGCTGTACTTAAATTTAAATTGGTTACTGACCCCCCCCCCCCCCTTCAAAATGGCTAGAAAGGACTGGCATGCATTTGGAAAATAAAACCGGTCTCATTTGCAAATCAGTGCCTTTGTCAGTGCCTTCTAAACAAATATCAGGAGCATCTCAACAGCATCTCAAACGCCCCCAAAAAGTAGCTCGGGAAGCAAAATGCATCTCCAGCAGGGAATCCTATACATGCCGACTCACAGGAATTCCACTCCAAGGGAACTTTGTTCCAGAAGCAGAATTCCCATGGGTCAGTGTGATGCACTTTCAATTACTGAAAGCAATTGTCTCTTGCGACTCAGATTCCTTTTTAAGGAATCCTGTTACAAATAAAAAATAAAGCTTGCATTTAATGCAGCGCCTTTCATGTCAGAAGGACGTCTCAGAGCGCTTCATAGGATTTATTTATGAGCGAGTAGTAAATGTATGGAACGATGAAAGGGACATCTATCGGTCATGGTGCTGAAATGAATTTTATTCTGAGTGCATATTATTCTACTGGTACTGGGAATAAACACAGGCATTTTTCTCCCTTCTGTTTCCTTCAACAAATCCAAATCCATAAGGTTTAATCTTTAACAATGCGACTGTTAAATTACCAGTTCAGGAGCCATTATTGCTGGGTTCGGAAAGAAAAAGTGTTTAAAAATTACAAATAACAGCATGAAGATTAAAGAAATGAAAAACGTCAAAACTTAAAACAACCAACTTATTTTACCCTGAAATTGACACCTGGATTTTATGTCTGAATTCCTGAGCATCCTCCAGCATTCATCCTCTTATATTATTCAGGAACTGTCGGTGAAAATATTAGTTTAGAGCAATAACGTACAAGACTGCTTGTAAAAAAGGACAGTAATTTAAAGGATTATTACATCTGTTTCAAATTTCTCAGAAATGAAAACACCGACAATTCAGAAAATGTGGAAACACTGTCAGTATTTCTTGG